CATCGTTTTCAGGTAACTTTAAAATAACGGATCTATGCCACATATTGTTCTTTTGTTTAGCTAATACTCTGCTCCCCATTTTGATGTTGTGAAAATCAGGCTCCCTAAATATTATATTAAAATAAATTCTAAATATAAGAAATCTTTTAAAATTTATTAAGAAAAAATATACTTGTATTCTTGTAGGCTTGAAAATGCCACAATTTCACCGTGAGAGTAATGGCAATTTTCATCGGAAAACTTACAACTGCCATCAAGGAAATATGGACATGGAATCATTTCTTTGTGTGTTGGATTGAGGAAGAAGACTCGCACCTGATTAATAATCAAATTTGAAGATGAAAAGGAAGTAAGAATATATATACTATATACATATCATACAATTGCTAGCACTACAAATTTACCTTAATATCATGGATGTTTTTAATTGTTGCGTCACTGTTTTCGTGAATAGAACATACCATAGCATTATGATAGCCAACACCACCCCAAGTACTGCCATAAGGGGCCTTGCATTTCATACCCTCTAGCGCCTTCAATTCATCCTACAAGATCAACTTGCACCGTATAATTGTGTCATTGCTATGACATAGAGAATAGTTGTATACTGACTTCAATATTATCAGAATCCACAGCAGTTGAACCATCCTGTTTTGTGCTTTCACTAACGTCTAAAGGTTTTGCCAGCTCTGCCTAATGAGTTTAAGTAATATTTAATTACACATAAAGCTGTCTTTATTGTACAATTTTACATACCAAATATATAATAGTCATGCTCGAAATGCTTGAAAATTATAAAAAATATGCTGCAACAAATCTTTATATAATAAATCCCAGTTAGAAAAATGTTAGGAATGTAGGTTGACAGCAAATTTCTATCAGGCCATCAGGAAATAATACTTTACAATATTAGTTTGATTAATTTACAATCAATCATAAAAAAGATAAAACCAACAATTAGCTCTGCCAATAATTAATAATCATATCTCAGACAGACCTTGAATAAGGCATATTCTTTATCCAATGGATCTTCTGTGTTATCAGAATCTTCATTTTCGTCATCTTCGTCTTTGTTTTCTGCATTATTTCCTTCAAGACTTTGCAAGCTCTCTCTCGTCAAAGAAATGAGTTCCTCAATGTCAGACTTTAGACTGAGCAAATTCTCTCTTTCAGGACCTTTTGATGTTGCAGACAGTGTCATATCCACTTGTGATAACTAAAAAAATACAATTGCAAGTCTAAATAAATAAAGTATGCTAAGAAAGATTTAAATAAGATTCAACTTAAAGATGTCAAAATGTTCTTTATTAAATTGTTGATATACCTGAGTCTTATATTGCTCGATGGCTTCTTTTAAACTCTTCGAGTCTGTCATATTGTAATCAATATGAAGTAAATAAAGAATGTAGGATAATCATTAAGCTGCATAAAATGCTTTTTTACAAGTATTGACAATTCCTAGTATTTACATGAAACAGCTTAGGACAGCTTCGACCCTATGCAACCCTGTTCGTTGCAAGACTGCCAATTATTTCTCATTTCATTCTATTTCCCTATTGCAAAAATGTTCCTATACTTACCTAACGATTTCTCCAAAGATTTGGCGATTTTAAGTGGATGTAAAAATTGTGTAGCAATTTTCGAGACATAATTTTGTAACATTGTGTAACATTATGTATACAAATAACACAATTTTAATATTCTTACAATAAAAATACTAGTAACATATTTTAGAAATCAAATTTAGACAGGATAAATGCTGTATATAAAAAGTTGCATCAGATAGTTGCCTCGGTAGCGCAGTAGGCAGCGCGTAAGTCTCATAATCTTAAGGTCGTGAGTTCGATCCTCACCCGGGGCAATTTCTTTTGGATATGTTAAATAATTTTATTTTTTTTTAGTTATATGTGAACAGATCAATTTTAATATTTTATTTGATATATTTTTACAATATAAAAATTATTTGAGATATAAATGAATGATTCTTGCACAACTATAACTTTTCGAACTATTATTATATGTTACATGTATTTGCAAAATTTGTATTAACATTTTAATTATTTTTATAATAAAAATATTGTGTAACGTAGAAAACTTTGTAATTATGAAAAAATTACTTGTTATAAATTTTGTAAATCAAAGGTTCGCGATTGCTCCTTAGATCTTTAAAATTTGTGACTTGGCTAACAAATGGCAAATTTATGAAAAGTCAGTCGATGAACATAGAAAAGTGGTTCGCTTGGAGGAGAAACAGAACATAAGAGACAATTATGCAAATGTGACGCCTGCAAGAAAAGCCCGTCGGCTCTTGGAATTGAAATGTGGAAGTTAAAACGAGTTGGAATTGTTTGCTGCCCTTTAGCGGTAGCACAATTTGCAAGTAAACAGCCCATTAAGCTGAATTCGCCGTAGGCTGCACTGTTTCCCAAAGGAATAGACATTGTTCGCGGTGTTTCTTACACTCTATTGTAATTCCGATATTTCTGAAAATCGTAATTCAAAATTCTTATTTGTCTTGTAAACCTTCATATAAAGAATATAATTATTAAATAGTCACTGTTTATCACTGTTTTTCAAATAACTGCATATCCTATTTCTTAAACTTAAAATAGATATTTATTGAATTTAAAATAGCAATTAATTATATCGATTTTATGGTTCTTTAGTCATCATATTCATGAACGTTTGAAAAGTCTACAGTTTCTATTTACGCGGATTGACTAAAAATTGCGAAACGCTCTTATTTTCAGCATCATTCAGACGTGTCATTGAGTTGTCTATGAATGATGCAAAAAAAAAAGAAAAAAAAAAGAAATGCACATCCTGTGGTGATGCCACACAATCCCTATAAACTGCGAAATCCTGGGCGTTGATTCAGGTCGCATTCACGGCGCATCGCATTGGGTCTCGCGATGAAAAGGTACCGCTTTCTGAATATATTCCAATTAAAAAGTCGGAGCTTCGTTACACTCGGCCCTGCCCTCCCCGGCCACCGCCCGCTGCCGCCCTTTTCGCCCCGAGGCCGCCGACCCCTCTTACTTCTGGCTTTTGCCTTTCGTCAAGGGAGGAAAGATAGAAAGAAGGAAAGAGAGAAATCGGTACCTGGGTTTTTCTCCAGCAATTACTTCGTTGCTTTTTCCCCAAAGAATTAGAAGCGCTCGCGCGTTGCTTTCTTCGGCGCATCTTCCTTTCTCCGTGCGGTATATCGACTCGCCCATGAATTAAAGTCTAAACGAGGGAATTTATTCATTATCTTCTACGATGAGAATAAAAGACATCACAAGAAACGTGATAAATATTTCGTCGATAGGACACAACACAATCACAGCTCGCATGTTTCGCGAAAGGATTAAACGCCGCCAATGGGCTTGTTCGTTTTAGCTGCACTGGGGCAGCTCTGGGTCTGCTCTAAACAAGATAATACAGGACAAACTATTTATCTGTCCTGTATTATCCTGTGTAGAGCAGACCCAGAGCAGCCCCAGTGTAGCTAAAACGAACAAGCCCAATGTTCACCCCGGAATGTGGAGAAGTTACGTCTCTCCCCAAGAGTTGTGTGAAAGAGGTCGAAGAATTTCTTTTCCGCGCACGTACGAATCGCCCCCCTGTGAAGTATTTAACGATGCCGCGTTACAGAGACACGAAGCGAGCTCTAGAGGGATAAGAAGCGCGTGCCCAAGTGCCAACACGACTTACGCACGTATGCACACGCAACGTACGCGCGACTATTCGTCGCAATACAATACGCACGTGGCCGGACGCGTGCCACTTGTCTCACGTATCTCGGTTGGAATCCCTCTTCGTGATTCGCTTTTCAGCTCTCAATAAAGATGATCGTATATCGAATTATGGAGATAAAATCGAAACGCACACAAGAAATGTGAAATTTTTTGTCTTCGTATTACGGTTTATTGATAAGATTATTTTTATAGTGGACAATCGTTTTTTAATAATGGTAATAAAAGAATTATTAAATACAAGCTGCGACGATCGAGATCGATATATAAATAAATAAATGATAAATCACTTATTTTCAAAGATGTTCCGCCGAAGCTTGAAGCCTCAGGCCTTTCTCCTCCTCCTCTCGATAGTTCACATCAATGGCTGCTCCTTCCTCGCAAAAACACGATTGCACGATATTTTTCATGATTGATATTAATTTTAAACATTTCTTTATAAGTCAGATTTATCAAACGTGTATAAAAAGGATCGATAATGTAACATTGGCATCTGCGTAAAGTTAGATAAAAACAAAAAGCTGTTTATTTTTTGTTTTTAATGCATACTGTTTTTATTCCAATTCTCTTTACTGCCCGATGTTAGATATCTCCGTCAAGTAAAGAACTGTTAACTTGAATTAAAGGTTAAAAAGTTAAAACTAGAGATTGATGCTTCCTCCAAACGAGTTACACGCAGCTTCGAGCAAAATTGATGCGCTTGCCGTAATTTAGTTTTCTCTCAATCCAATTAGTGCGAACAATTTTAGCTGCAAAAATCGTCGTAATAATCGTAACAGTTGCACATTGTCGTTGTTTCCGTGCAATTAAATTCATCACACACGCCAATTTCAGCCCATACGGGAATCACTCGACCACTCGAATCACTTGACTTGTAACGATTTCAACCAATTACTCGTGCTTGGCCACGTGTCTATTGCCACGTGTGTACATTGCTTGTCTACTTACAAAAAAGCAGATAAAAATGTAAGATAATACAATGAAATATATCCGAGTGCTTTGTACTTGAAATTGTCCGGATGAACTTGAGTCAATATAAAAGCGCAGAAAGTGAATTTGAGGGTGAGCACGTTAAATGAAATATCGATTGGCTTGTATTAGTTTTGATAATAATTTATTTATCTACAGTAACTTCCTGTTTTTTCGCAAAGAGAGTAGTCAATAGATTTGACGGTGAGTAACAATAATCAACTAAATTACTGGGGATTAGTCCGATTAGCGCTTACGTATGTCGTCAAACATTGCACATTCGGTAATTGATAATATTACTTTCACCTGTATGTCGAGATTACATTTATCTAAAACGCTAAAGTAGCTACGAATTAAATCTGTCGCTAAACTGCGTAAATTGTTAATCGTCAATCGAACGCATACTTTTAATTCCGATTTATATTGTAAAGTAGCAGCACGATTTTTTTTCTTTACAGCGAAATAACTCCTCTCGTCTATCTTCTAAATACAATATCATTATTGCATCTAGAATTGCATCTATGGTGACAGATCACATATTGTGTTGTAACATTGCAATAATATCGATTATAGAAATTATGTTATTCTTCGAAGAAGATGTCAATTTTTATCGTGAAATGTTGATTCTTTCGTTCAATTCGATCTGCGAGCTATGCCTACCGATCAACTATGGATTGTAATTACATATTTACATCTTTACTCAATCCTCATTTTTAATACTTAGCATGCAAGAGAAGACGCGGAAGAACCGACTGCGATAAAACTTTGCATCAGCATGTTTGCATGAGCAAAGAAATACAATATCGACACGGTTGAAGTTCAACAGACATGTAATTAACGGGAAAAAGAATTTATGTATGTTTTTGACATTCTTTTGTCATCTTTTCCATAAAACATATTTCTAGATAAAAACAATATACCGCCAAATTTTAAACACAACCTAATAAGAAAAGGTATAACAACTTAAAAAAAGAAACACAATATTTACGAATACTTTCCTTACCCATTAATTAAGCGCTTATAGCAAGTGATTTTTTAAAGCAAACCTTTTCAATTCACTAATAATTTAGAGCAAACTCCGGTATAATAAAAAATATTGTTAAAACACTTCAAGTTAGCTTGGCACTCACGACACAATTAATCCGTAATCGTTCCTTCGAGCGCGGCGAGTCCAAACCAAATCATTCGCGCTGATCCAAAACTCATTATCTTGACGTCTTCGGGATCACGCGGGTTAGAGTGGGCAGCCGTGGACGTAGGTGACATTGCGGAAGAGCGCGGCCGCCGTCGAGAGAAACGCTGCCGTGGAGGCGGTGGATGGTGCCGGCGGCGGCGGTGGCGGTGGCGGATGACTGGCCTGTGTTTGTGCGTTGTACGGTGAACAATAAGCGTCTATGCTGCCGTGATGAAGACCCACACTGCGTACCAGAAGATCCTTCTCCACGGTGGCTTGATGACGCAACTGCTCCAATCGTAGCTGATTCTGTCGCTTCCATTTCGTTCTGCAATGAAAACACACATTTGCCGTTCCTCCACATGATGCTACACGAAATTCTCTCTCAACTAAAACATCGGGTGACTGAATTTTCAAGTTCTGAGCGATTGAATACAAAGAACTTGTCGAGCATGTCGGAAAATACAAGCTGGTTTATTGAATTTTAAGTACCTTTTAGTTTTATAGGTTTACTACTTGAAGATTCTTTTTTATTTTGTATAAAGTTATCAATTCCCCTTTTACATGTTTTAACAGTGAATTCCCATTTACCTTCTGTTTTGGTACCAAGTCTTTACTTGAGTCTCCGAAAGCGATAAGGCGTCAGCGACGTCGCTGCGATCTGCCACGCTGAGATATTTCTGACAGCGAAACTTCCTCTCGAGGTAAGCCAGCTGGGCATGGGTGAAGGCGGTTCGTCGTCTCCGTGGTTTTCTACCGGTCGACGACGCACTGCTGGCGGTCACTCCGCATGATTTCGCGGACGTAGTAGCCGGACCGGGCGACGGCGAAAGCGCCGGTGGAGGACTCCCTAGACGCGTGCAAGGACTACTACCAGGATCGATAGTGTCCTCGGAATCGGAATGCACGGCCGAATCGTCCTCCGAGTCTTCTGCAGCATATTTTTGTACAATCTATATTCGCAAGTATAGCGTAATGACTTTTCCGACGTTTAAATAATAATTTTTGAATATTCAACGATGTGAAGAAAAATTTGCTCTTCACTGTTCCGCAATGAAGCTCATCTCAGAATCTCCAAACATGATTTCAGATTCCCAGATTATTTGTGGAAAGAAATTTTTGTATTTTATTACATTTCTTTGCATATCATTAAATTAATTGTTAATTTATCCACAGAAGAGATACGCAGCGGACAAATGATACAACGCGTTTCCCCGCTATTTTGCGTTAACAGCTATTTTCAGATAATCCAATCATTGAGTCCGATCGGTCGGCCAAAATCTATTACCGAAACAATAATCCAGACCGAACCCCAACCGATTGTGATCGATCTCGGTTACGGCAAACTATCTCAATTAGCAAGATCTCTGCCGCACTCCCTTAGGATTAGCCGATAGACTCGTAATGGCGCGCCGGGGGGTAATAATCTTCGATGAAAGTCCACGGGATAACGAGCTCTAACGAATCTTTCGGCACCTCGCACCATCTGTAGAATCGTTCTTAATGGGGCACAACCTCCGAGGGGGTTAGTCACCCCTGGTGGCCCTGCGTCAGTGATTTAAATAATAGAAACGCACCACGGGGTCCACTTTCTAACGAGAATTCTAGCTATCTGCCACGCGTCTAGAAATGTTTGCGTGTAAAAAACACAATCCTCGTCTATGAAAGAGCTGTGAAATCGATCAACGATAAAAACTGTGTGATAAACTCTGTGTCGTCTTTGTTTTTCGTTTTTCCACCTATCTCCATATATTTCGGTATATTTTTCTAAATTATATTCAAAACGTATTAAATTTTATATTCAAATTACATTCAAAATGTATTAAATTTTAATTTATCAAAATTATTATAAATTTAATTTGCTCTTTTGTAACATAAATAGATTATTGAATAAAATTATGAATGTACAATATAGAATAAAAGTAACATACGGCAGTGATTTCAAATATCTGAAAGTCTCTTAGTTAAAGCAGTTGTCCACAGTACATTTAACAGACAACATCACAATGCTTACATTGGTTCCATGCAGCCTCTTAATTATCGCAATTTTTGACTACCAATTGTTTTTAAAAAATCTGGACTATGATTGAACTTTGGTTATTTACGCGATTATGTTTTATTCCGGCGATTTATCAGAATACAAACTATGTACTGAAGATGATCGAAAGGTCGAAACGTTACGAAGTGTATTGAATAAAGAAGATTGTAAAAGACAACCAAATTCCTGTGTTGGCTCCCCCTTTTTTTCTAATTTGTTAATTTATGTGAGCCGAGATTAATTGGTTTATAATTTAATTAAAATTATGCCGATTCAAACCTCGCTTAAGATTATTTTAAAGACATGCAATTTGATTTTGTGATTTTTTAAATTTAATTTGCTTTTTTAATTCTTAATTTTTTTGTTACATGACAGAAAATACTGGAATCATGTTAAAACTTTCTATAAGAAAATGAAAACATGTAATATCTTTATAGAAATCTGTTTATAAAATGATTTGATCAAAATGATTTATTTAATTGTTAATTGCGCAACTTGTAAAAGAAAGATTAATTGTAGTTCAAAAATAATTCTTTGATATTTCTTAACGTTATGATGAATATTGTTGATTAATATTCTTAGATATTCTTAGATATTCTTAATAATTATTAATATTCTTAATAATTTCTACTATCTATATCGCTTATTTCTATTTCCTGCAACAAGTTTCAATGAAACTTACCTTGAACTCGATCGACCAGCACATCCCCCAAAAGATCTCTGATCAGGAAAGACTTGTGCTCTTGCATCATCGCCGTCGGCGAAGCGACACACTCACTCGCGATCGTCAATCGTCACTCAAAATTGTACCTGACAAAACAACAACACAATCAATCGCGTTGATTTAAGACGAACCGTACCGACACATTCGCACCGCAGAGGAAATCGACTTTCATGCTATCGTATGGACGCTCGGCGTCGTTCTGCGTCGACCGACGACCGCTACGGCTGACCGGAAACGTCCCCGAACCCCGATGCCACTGTCGTTCACGTCGTCGTCGTCGACGAGGGCACGCGAGACAAACGCGCGGGGGTGGAGACTCACACATAAGAGCTTGGAAGTTAGCACGCGATCGAGGGGGGGGAGGGGATATACGCGCTACCCCCGCGACCCCCGTGAATTAATCCGCCCGTTTATTTTGAACGGGCTGCCTAATGCCCGCGCGATTTCGCAGCCATTTTGGGGGTGGAAGCGCCATGCTCACCCCACTGCAAGAGCGACACGCTTCCCCGATTGGTTCGCGGAGGCTGGAACGCGGTGGTGAAGAGACGAGATCTCGGCGTCGCCATTGGTCGACAGATTCCGCAGCCAGTCCTTCCTGTACTCGCGATCCGCTATCCCGGTGCACGCTTCGACTTAAGTGGATCCGGATGAAGGGGTGCGAGGGGTAATAGTGCAGTGGATGGCGAGGGTGGAAGTTGCGGGGGAGTCCGGGTGCGAGGGGGCGGAGAGACAGATGCAAACGGGGGAAGTCATTGGCGAGCGATTACTGCGAAACGAGAGAAACAAATTGAATGTGAAACTTTTCTGCGAGCGCGCGATATAGAACTGGTTTCTATGATTTCAGTGCTTGAAAGGCGGATACTTGCCGAGTTTCCGCTGTTATTGGTCTCAGTCGTCTCGTTGCTCGCGCTTGTTGGCTTCGTTACAAAACTTCAGGAGAACGCCGCAACGATGAGGTATAATAAATTCTGAAGATGTTCACTTTACTACTAATATTAACTATAAAAATTCAACGTGCACACGTCACAAAAAGAAAAGATCGATTCTTTCACTGCGTTCTTCGCGGGACGCAATATGTAACAGAAATACGCATCGAATATTTTTGTATACTTTTTAAATAATAACAAATTCTAGATTTACGAAAATACTGAATCTCCGGGGAAAAGTGTTACATTTGGGATACAAAACTCGAATATTTTTATTTACGAATATTGAAAGCGTGAAATATCGCCGATGAAAAATGCAACGTGCAGACGAAACCAATTCCACCCTGCAATAACGCGGAATAACGTAACGGGGATGCGCATCAACATTTGCATAAATACGTCCTTCGCACAGATTCCTCTTCCCGTGCCTCATTCACCGGCTCGCCAGGAGTAGCTTGCGAGTGTAAATATGCATGATGTATGCTCACCATCGCGAGTTCCATATCGCCACCCGCCCCCCTCACTTGCATCCCAGTCAACCTCCTACATTTCTGTCTCGCTGTATGCTATTCACCGCATCACCACTCACCCCTTTTAAGCACCTGTCGACATGCGAGCGCATAAACGTGTGTACGTTTGACGCTGCGCCGCGAAATCATCCGGGATGAATTCAGCGACGCACGGCATCGTCGAGTGCGCGAGCGTGTAAGAAAAGCTACGTGTAAGCCGCGAGTCTCGTGAAGCTCTTCGCATAATGCGGATATGCATGGATGAAGAAATGCGTTATTGAAACCAGAAACAATCTCAGCAAATTTAATCAAAATACTGCTCTTGTAACATTCATTAATCGCTGCAAATTAATAGGTTGATGCGCTCTATGTTGTAATCTGTAATACAAGTCAAAAAAGCGTGAGTTTTTCTTATTCAAATATATAAATGTTAATGACCGTTATCTGATAATGATTGCAGTTGTCGACGAGTCAATGTTCGATAACATTACCATATATTACTCGGTGATCCTGAAATTTTGCAGAAACGCCGGCGCATAGCATTAATTAAGGCTCCAATTAATTCTGATCGCTCACGCGAGCTCACCTTGAAGCAAGTGGTGAAGCCAGCGACGGTAGAGTGGATGCTCGCTCTATCCTCGGATTTTTGGCTCTCCTTATCCTTGTACAGCGTCGCGTGGCGTTGCATAAAGCGTCGTCCTAACGCAAGCACTGTCACCGACGCTGGACGTCGATGGTGTTTTAATGGCGATGGTGATGACAGTGTCATTGTGCGCTGCGAAACAAGAGACCCTTCGACTCGCGAGCCAAGGTTGGCGCGCGCGTTTCGGAATTCATTAGGTTTAACGTATGCGGGAGATTAATTCAAGGGCCAGCAAAGCGGCCAGGCGTCTCCTTCACGGGTGCGGAAAAGGGCGCCGTAGAGGATCGCCGGAATAAATGCATGCCGGCAAACGGACTAAATTGAGGATCGTCGAAGCTACAAGAAACAAAGGGCCTGTCGAAGTTGTCGCCGACTATTGGAATAACACGTTAATCGCCGTTGAGCCTTCACTGACGGATAAATCTATCGAGACAAAAAAAGATCAAGTATCAAGAATAAACATTTAAGCCGCTCAGAAGCCAAACTGACTAACTCCATCAAATAAAAAGTAAAGAAAATTAATAAATTTATACATAAACGCTGTTTTTTTAAATTTTGTTTGAAATATGTACACAAACAAATATTTTAGAATATTAAACATATAACTTTTATGTTACAATGTAGAAAATACAAAACAAAAATATATATATATATATATATATATATATATATATATATATCAAGAATAATCGTTCATATATTTACAAATTAAACTTTTTGAAAAATTAGACATCAATCATGTGCTTCGACACTAAAATTAAAAATCTTGCAAAAAGTGGAGTTAGTCACCTTGGCTTCTGAGTCATTTAATAGTAAGTTATTTTGTATTAATTTAAAAAAATACAGAGAGAAAAAATGTTCTGTATTTTTCGTACCTCAAATAATTGTAGCTTCTATCAATTTATTGTAGGAAATAGCTGGAATTGTAATTATCAGTAACAATTATTTATATCTCACTTCGTATTTCAGTAATTTGACGTAAATTTTTAAAAATAAAATCAAAAGTAAATATTTCTAAATAAACACATAATTTTCAGATGTCACAATTACGGCGATTCAGAAGTTTTCTTTGCGAAGGGACTTCAGTTACGTGTGCATGAAAAATTCCAGGGAAACAGTTTATCGCATTTATCGTGCCCTGGATGAAGGCAAATTAATGATAATAAGAGTGGAGGGCGGTACGCGTGGAATTAGCTGCAAATCATCACTCCCGCTAGCTGATCATTATCGGCAATTTGCGACGTTTACTCCCTCATGGGATCCGAGATCTCATCTCGGGGTGCTTCTCTCCAGCCCGCTTCGCTTCTCTACGCATTTGTGTCGTGCAAATAGGATATTGTCGACGACGAATCATTTTCTGATAGCACAGGGGTCGAATAAATTTACAAATTAGACGTATGAGGGATGTGATTTTTTTCGACAATACGATATTGCGTTAAAAATTCTTACGACCGCAATGTTATAAACCTATTTTACGTAGCATAAAATAATTACGTTATATACTTCTCTCGTAATAACGGTAAAAATAGTTATATAAAACAATATGTAATAACAATGTTGTTATAGAATCTGAAAATGTGATTACAGAATCCGGTTCTGGAATTTTTTTGTGCATCGCAAACGCGAGGCTCAATCAGCCGAAAATTCTGGCGATGTCTGGCGTATTGATAACAATAATAGCACGGTCGCGGATCGTCCCGGTGAATAGCTAAATACAGATAAAGAACTGCGAAGGGGATCATGGCGGAGCGATTTAGAACAGAAGCGGCAACGGGGGTGGCTATCGAGCCACAATGCGGAGGACCTCGGAATCGTTAACAATCGCGGCAAGCGCAAGATCCATTGATGTGCGACCGCGCGTGTGAATATAACTGCCGAGGTGAAGTTTCCGTATGAAGCGGCATCGTCCAGCCCTTTCTGCTTTTACGGAAGAGTACAAAGGCCTCAGGTTTTAACTAAAAAATATTTTTTAAACACTGCGGCAAAGAGTCGCGCGCGAGAAAGCGATTTGCACTCCTTTTACTTAATATTCTTTAATCACTCACTTCGCATTCATCACAATTTATGAGATAATTTAACACATTTGACATTAATAAGTATTAAAATACAATCTTCTATTTTCCATATTAACTTGTAAAAAATTTATCTCGGATTAAACAATAATTAATAAAGATAATACAAAATAATGAAGATTTATGAAATTTCATAATTGCAGAAGTTTGAAATGATAAAATTTGCACGAGGATTGACGCGACATTTCGGAACGCGTCATCTTTCTGTGGAAATTATTTGATCTGTACCATAATTCGATGTTATTCTGTCGTCGCGTATACGGGCTATTGTGTTTCTCTTATAGAGAGGAGACACTCTCGAAGAATGATGGTTATGGGAAAAGGAGTGCTTGAACACGGACGTTGGTCAGGCTCCTGCGGTTCCAATTACGATTGAAAGGCGCTCCTGTTTGTTCGCTTCCTATAACTGCGGACTCTTCAGAGCCTCGTAGAACCGTACTCTAGCCCCATGGCCACTTTTGAGCTCGGTGAGCGCGTTTCCATAGCGAATACGCGATTTCGCGACGGCTGCAACGGCAGCTTCCTTCGCGAGAAGAATCCTATTCCGGCATTTGAATACAATTAACACGCAATCCTCGTCAGAAAGGAAATTCAACAATGTTGGTAATTGATTAGATAATTACTGTTTCGCAGAAATTTTAATCATTACATATGTTAAATATTTAATATCAAATATATTTAATTCCAATTTCTCTGATAATGCATTGACCAATAAAAAATAGATTTGATCGCGCGCGATATTTTTATATGATTGTATTTATTTATGTTCCTGAGAAATAAGATAAGAAAATCGAAATAGTTTTCGAATCGTTGGATCCAACGCTTATATTTCCATAACACGCTTTCTCGATGTCAGGAAATGGGGCGGTGCTGAACACACCGATTATGCGATGTAACCGCGTTTCTGCTTTCGCGTAAAGTGCCGAGTAATCAAAGGAACGATTGTCGTCACAAAGGTGCTTGATTGGCTCGTTTATGCTACGGTAATGCCCGGACTACTGCTACCAAGACAACATAGATTCCCGCGGAGAGAAGGATCGCACCCCTCTAACGAGCTCTCCATGAGATCGCGCGCCTATCCGAAAACAACGTCATTCACTAAAGCACAGATGTCTTAACTTATTAAGTATCATTACTAAAGTAGAAAAATAACGATTAAAGTAATCGTAGAGACAAATAGTACATATAATATATATGCGTATTTTATCAAACTGTGAACAGCGCGTCGTCTAAAGAAATTTACCTAAGCATCACAATGATACACTCTTGTTTCGGAAGCAATTTGATCATGATTGTCAATTTATCTTTCCCTAACATCTCGTAAAAAAGCATAACAATCAGCATTATGGATTAAGATGAACGCCGTCAGGAAAGGGATCCCGCGGCAGACAGCCCGAGGCAGTGGCGCGCGAGGAGTCATGTATCCCGCGGAGTCGGTGGTGTATCAGCGCGCCGAAGTTGGGAGGGTGGCTTGTTTACTAGCGACAGTTGATTTGACAAAGCCGCGGGTCCATTTATACGAGCAAATATTACAGGGGCGCAGTCGAGGGGCGGCTTGTTATCCGCTCATTGAAGTTAACCACGGGGCTAAGTGCGCGCGGGGGTAGCGGCGACGGCGGCAACGACGGTGGAGGCGGCCGAGGACCGGAGGGTTGGTGGATGCAGCTAGCAGCGAGGGTAGGGATGGGGTCGAGAAGAGAGCCGGAGGAAGAGAGACGGCTTGCGCGAAAGCCCGCGAGCCAATAAGAGGCCAGATCGTCGCCGCCGAGTAACCACAAGGCTTTCCGCCAGATTATTCGACCGAGATTGAAAAGTTAGCACCGGCTGCTTCGCGGTATCCGTAGGATGTTACCCTCGCAGTTTCCGCCGGTTTTTCGCTTAAAATGCCTGTCTATAAAAAATACAACTTGCCTGCCTATGAAAATTGCAATTTGATTTTTTGTAAAATAATAAATGTCTAGAAAGAGTGAGAACAATGTAGAGATTGTACAAACGTCTCACTTCTATTGGATTAATTGTCGCAATCAATTTTTCTTCACTAAATCATTATTATTTTGCGACTGTTATTTTTGCGACTTTCGAATTTTTAACATTAAAAAATTTTACTACTTTATTCTGCCATCGAATTAAAATCGTGGTTAAATCTTGCAAGCTAGCTGGGTCAAGTGTGCGCAACATCCCCAAAAATGTTTACTTCTGTATAATGCGGTAATGTCTGTGCTGTTTACTGACCGATAAGCACTCCGCAATTCCTCGGCACGTGAATAATGCCTTCACCAGAACCGACATGAATATTCACGAATATTAAACGCAAAAATGCATGCCATGCAAAAACAGATTAATGAAAAAGAACGTTTGAATAAAAAGTATTATGTATACAACTGCACAATTAAATTATATACAATTTTACTCATCAATAATAGCACTCAATTTTACGTAAAATCTTTCCAGTAGAATTTAAATTCAAGTTTTGATTATCATAATATATTCAATAAAAAGATTTTTTCAAGTACAACAAATAATTACCCATTTTACTTAAAAACAATAAATTTGGAAAAAATTAGACTATCTGCGATTTTTTTTATTGTATAATTTTTTATATATTTTATATATGTGAGTGCTTGCATTGTCGATAATGTAAAAAAATCCGAAAGTAAAGAAACGAGGTGAAAAAAGATAATTCTTCTGAATAGGTCGGCGAAGGTGGAAAATTGTGACGACGAGCGACCTGGAAAGGGAAAAAAATTTCCGGATAACCGACGCGGAAATACGGATAATGATTACTTTCTCATATTTTAATTACGATATAATTAATTGAAATGTTTCGCTGTACGTGAAAGTACTCGACTAAAATGAGATGCAAGCGCGGCGAAGACTGTTGCTTTTCTCTTCACCGAGATAGTATTTCGCTTTATGCAGCAGAAATTTTCTTTCTTTCACAATTTAGGCCACAATTCCATACGTGGGAAATTAGGTAGAAAATTTCGCGAAGAAATTCTCGGTACACCTAATTAATTCATGAAATTAATTCACAGGCGAATTTAATTAACTTGTCGTAATGGTATTTTATCAAAAGATTCATTAAATTAACGTCGTAAAATATGTTCATAGAAATGTAAAACGCATCGATGGTGATAAAATAATGATAATGAATAAATTCGCAATAGATTTTTGCTTCATTAATTTCTTAATCGGAAACAAAAGAAAACACAAAAAATACGTAATTATGTTGTACTTTGTTGTTAGCAGCATTCAACATATTTGATGTAAAAATAAAATGCGACGATTTTCTTTCACTTGCAAATAACATAATAAATAGAATTCGACTTTTTTACAAATTAATCAAAACTGCTTAATTTTATTTTATTAAATATTTTTATAAATATTTTAACGTAAACTAGAACGCGAAACAGATAGCGTTTTATATATACATCTTTCGTTTGCCAGCTCCAGTGTTTCCTGCTAGCCGCGCATCACTTCCACCCAGTAGTTGTCTCAATATCTCGAAACCCCTTCGGACACTTCGTTATTCGTTACCGCGACACTGTATTCACGTTATAGTGTTAACGAAACAATAGCGGGCCGCAGGAGTCAGAAGAAGTTAGATTGCGCGATGGACAAAGCGAGAACGCGTTGTCATTGTTAGCATTCAATTGTTCTCTCTTTGTTCCAGACATTGTTTCCGGTAACCCTTTCGCGGTAACAAGGAAGAAGCTCAATTAGAGCGGTTTGAGGACTTAAACGCCCAGAGGCTGCTGCGGTTTAAGAAGCAAGGATGCTACACAGCATCGGCCGGAGAGCATCGTTAATGCGAGCAAACAAGGCGATTCTTTTAATCGCGCCGGCAGTGACGCGGTTGTATGTCAGATTTCATTAAAAGTATTAATTGTTCCGAATACGCATACAACACATATGCATATTTGGCTTAAATATCGCAAGTGTTCAATATACAATTCCTAATTATTTAACCGAGAAAAAACGCAAGTTAGAGTAATTTATTCCCTTGCAAAATTTTACTAAATAAAAATTGATGAAGCATATGTGACATTTAATCATATGCGAATTTTGAAATATCTAAACGTTGATTATCTATTTGCCAACATAATTATTAATAATTTGAGTTTTTATATTAAACACTGAATCTCTCCAAATGCCAGTAATTTATTATGCCATCTTAGCATGTGTAATTTGTGACATTTAATTAAAATTGTACATCGCATTCGTATAAATAATATAAAGGAAATATCGTTAGTATTTGCGCAGGCGCTACTCACGTCACGCAGCTGTTTCCTCCTGTTATCCTGTCGCATCGCTGTTTCTATCTCGGAACCACTGTTATCTTTCGGCCAACGTTCCGCCAGGTAATCGGCGAGAAGATATCCCGCCGACGAGTCGACCCGAATAGGAGGGAGGACTATTGATCGTTGCAAATACGGCATCGCCTATCCATTACCTATCATACCTGCGCTCGAGGGACGTTACCAGGATATTCGAATGGCCAATTGTCCTACGGTCATTGCCCTCCTTCGAGCAAGCCCACCAAGGACGGAATAATAGAAACGTCATCCTAGGAGATACTCCGTCGCACGCATGATGTCCTAGTGGAAAAACAAGACCGTGCTTTGAAGCACAAATTGAGATAAATCCTGTTATCATGCTGCAATTAGTATCCACCGCAGTCAAACACCTCGTTGTCGTTTGAAGTCGCGAACTATCTGAATGCACAGTAAATGTATATACTTTAAATTCGCCTCTTTGCAAAATTTTTTACTCACGTTATCTTAAGCGTAAAGATAAAAGAAGCGATATTTCTTTATTGCAATGCTTTATACATGTGTAAATTATTTTGTTATATATTTTTTTGTTCTACATTATTATTAATAAATTAAAGTTTTCCTTATTTGTCCGGAGTTTTAATTAGATATGTTGGAATACTGTATTTGCATATTAAATGTTAATATTAATTATGTGTATAATTGTAGACAATTACCGAAGGGACGAGTCTGTGACACATTTGAACGCGTGCCAGATGTTTTCAGTGAGAAGTAAACAGTACGGTTGCCGCGGCACAGTTCGATGTGTCGGCGCACGCGTCACCGATACAGTTGTGTGTTGTAGCGTTATTGGAAATATGCTCGAATATTTGGATATTTTTTTCGGGCTCGCGGCTGCGTACCGTTTCATGATCGCCTGTGATCGGCACCTGAAATTAAGATGCACCGAAGACGAATTGGAACCGATAAAAAAAGTACAATACAATAAAGCAATACATCTGCGTCTTACCTTTCATCTTAACTCATTTGCAACCGACATCTCATAATTTTTATGCATAATTCTTTATCCTAAACACACAAAGGTGTCCTGACCGTGTGCGAAAACCTAAATTTACTGAAAGAAATGATTATCCGGGAGTGTCTTAAGCTTCACTTTGGCCAGTCTTGTAGGTCGTCGGAAAGCCCGCTGTTTTCGACGTAATTTGCAGGTAATTTCCAGCCGCGCATATTGCACCCTGACATTCTGCTATCCTGGCGCTCCTGGAACACCCTCCTACTGCAGAGAGTCGTGGCGGAGCCCGGAAGCAGGAGCCGCGCCCGCGCGAGCGTGCCTGAGTTATAGCTTCCTGGTGGTGCAAATGCTTCTGGCGCCACTCTCTTGACGAGTGACAGGACATTGATGAGCGTGTCGAAGGATGCGAGGAGATGCGTGTCATTGTCGTCGCTGACGGCGAAAGAAAGTGCGGCTTGGTGGCTTGCATCGCTGCGAAAATTCGATCGTTCACATGCAGCCCTGATCCGAGGGATGCTTGCCGTTCGAAAGCGCATACGTCATGGGGGTGGGAGCGTCGTAGCGCTGACGGACCGGAGAAAAAAAATCTTTCCTCATGCTACCCTGATGCGGAGAATATTTGTGAGCAACGAACGCGTGCCGATTGACCGTCGTGAATGTTTTCACGAATGCACTTGACTGTTTAACGAAATAGCAGTTAATCGAGGAGTTCTGAAATGTAAAATAATATAAATTTTTAATGAAGACGTCAACTCGATTTCATGGCATTCTCGCTATTATCGTATGATAATTCTCATTTATAACAGCCCAACTGAATACAATGATATATTTAACATTATTGATTTACAGAAAATTAGAATAAAATTGCAATTTATAGTTAATAATCGTGTTTAGAATTACAAGTTGCAAGTTAATGGCAACTATTTGATGTAGCTTATAAATATAGCCACAAATTAAAATAGCTAATATTTTTGACTATTCTAATAGATCCATTATATACCTTAGATTTCATATTTATACATTTAGCATTCCATGAAAAATTGCTTCTATAAATTCTTCAAAGAATTTTTTTTAATCATATTTGTTGGTGTTATTCGCTGGTGCATATTCGCGAATTGATTAAGGGTTAGGGGTTCAGTTTCTTTAAGATATCGCTTTCTAGAATCAGAATTACCTTCCTAGATGTGTCTCCTTTCTCGTATCCTGATACTCAAGCTTACTCTACCTTTTGAAGTTCCTCGCGTATATAATGTGATGTAGATTTTTTTCTTAGTAAATACGCAAGATACACGACTTTTGCCACATCTCTATGAAAATTATATTAAAATGTATTTTGTTATAATATATAAAATAAGCATCAAAAAACATGTTAGCATTATTTTAAGAATAAATTTCTCTTGACGAATAGTAAACAGAATTTTATTCTTAGTGGAAATATTTTCTTACGATTTTCGCTCATTTGTGCATTGTATCTCTGTAAATATATGTATTATGTATGTACTATGCAGTGCTATATGTATGGAGTGCATCTATATATCACTTTTGTTTCCTCCGAGTAGTGGGCAGCACCGTTCGGTGCACAGGTTTTATCATCGTGACGTGATATGATAGCCAATACCATGGTGTAAAGAATGTAAGGTGAAGTATTGCGCATATGGCGGCGACTTCAAATTTCAACCAATCAAATTTGCCCGATGTAGGAAACGCGCCAATTATAAATGTAGTAAGTTATTTAAAAATAATATATTTAAACAATACAATTATTATATGTTTATTAATATGAAAAATGTAAATGCAATGTAATATTTACTAACCTCATGTAATCTTTGAATTTTCATCCCTCTGGCAAGCCTGTAACCACTTTCTTCGCAGCTCAGATCTTGAGGAAACGAGTAATATCTCACTTTTTTGCTGAATATATAATTTGTCCGATTTTTACAATTTCTCACGAAACAACTTGGCATGGTTGAAAATTTGTCGTCGACTTGTCAAAACTTCACAAGTAATATTCACACATGCACACAAGTGATAGCCACCGATGTCAATCATTGTCAAAACTATGTAACTGATTCTATCGTGCGCCGGCCATATTGAATTTTGTATCACCGGGCATATTTGATTGGTTCGCTGTTCCCCACTACTTTTGAACCACTGCGCATTCATCGGAATGCTTCACCTTATATTCTTTACACCATGGCCAATACCAGAGCTAACCTCATATCCTTCCCTTTCATCGCTTGTTTAACATATGCTATTATCGTTAAAATTTTATTTATATATCATGTAAATTGTAAATATTAACCAAATAATAATATATTGAATAACATATAAATCTGCGATAAGTGTCTACACTGCCAAACATGAGTGCTCCTACAAATCTCAAGAAACACAGTACCCACTGTCAACCAGGTTAGCTGTTTTATTAATTTAAATTACAATCTTGTATATTATCAATCGTTAATGTCTACGATAAGAAAATTGTACTATCATTGAAGAAGTATACCAAATGTATATGTATTACAGTAGTATACACGAATTTAATATTTTAATATTTTTAAGATAATAGTAACAATAACTTATTTTTTAAGATGTTCATGTAATGGGTTGTGTTGAACGAACGCAAGGAGATGGCATGGAAAATGTGACGGCAGACAAGGTTGAGATTAAACAAAATCGAAGTCGGCTTGGCGAAACTCTCATTTATCATCCTACAAACTTGAAGCAATTAGGATCAACAGCTCCTGTGACTCCCACTGGTACAATAGTGAACCTAGTGCCAAAGAACATTAGCAATGTAAAGCCAAACAGACGTATTTTGCATTCTTTAAAATCAAAAGAACCAAAATTTGTACCTTATGAACCATATAAGGCAGCTGTTAATCCAATAGTGCCACTTGAAAAGAAGAACAAAAAATTTCCCAGAAGTGAATCAAGTATGAATGCCGCAATCGCACAAGTTGCTGCGATGAAAATACAAGACACTGGTACAAGAGTGAAGGATTGTGTGAAAGAAAATGAAGAGAAGATATTAGAAGACGAGTGGAACAGCGAAAAACGGATGTACGAAGCTGAAATCCGCAAGCTGAAAGAAGAGAACAATCAACTTGAAACTCAGTTAAAATTTCAAGCACAAGTAAGTAAGGCAGTTAAGTTTTGATTAATAAAGAAATTTGTTTTTATGATTTGTACAACGACATATAAATGTACAGGTCAATGGAGAATTAAAGAACTTGCTGGTTGCTGCGGTAGGCGAAGATTTGCAAACAAGAGTTCATCTATTAACCGAAGACAAGTTGCAACTTGCAAGAGCTCTTTTGAATTCAGCTCAACGTTTATCTACGCATCAAGAACAAACAGAATGGCTGGCAGGCCAATGTGAAGTTTGGAGAAGTAAATTTCTAGCCAGTAGGTAATTAATAATTATTTCCTACATTACATGGAGTTTTAGAGGCTTTACCTTTTGGTTTGCACAAAATTTACGATTTTTCAAACTTTAAACTTTAATAAAATAATATGTCAATAAAATGAAACCTATTATAGTTTAATGGTGGAAGATTTGGCAAGATGGAAGGCTGCACTCTGCCAAAGAACAATAGAACTTCAAGAAACTATGAAACGGCTATTAGAAGAACATACCGGTATTCGCGATACATCGCTTAAAACATACAAGTATGCTTTATAGATATATTGCCTATACGTTACATTGCTTATACAATTTTAACTAACAAAAATTATTTTTGTTTTTTCAGAATGCTCATGATCCTGCGAGAGAAATTTGATCCTGTAGGGACATCTGGCAAGAAACATGGATTAGTTAGTACTAATATTATGGATCTTGCGCAAGGAAGTTGTCAACTTGCGGAAATTCTGAAAGTTACTTTGCTCAGTGGTATCCCGGATTCAGAATTGCAAAAAGATATCGATATAACTGGTTTAGATATGAAAACACTTGCAGAGAACAATGCGGAGAAGGTGAAGTAGTTTGATTTTTAATACTTTTTAAAATAATAGTTTGATAGAATAAATTAATATTTAATTTACAGTTATTAATGAATCAAAAATTACCTATGACTGAAAGAGATGATGTTGCTTGTACTGCGGTGATGGGGGCAGCGGTTGCGGTTGGCGGGCAAATGTTTCTTCCACGATGTGACACTAACAATATGACATGTTGCCCGCATTGCAGTGGCGAAATTAAACAGATTTGAAGAAAACCCTACTTTTTATATCTTCCACATAACTCTTTTTGTACTAAATATACCGAATATTTTTTAAAATCTAATGTTATAACACAATACTTTAGCTCTATATTTTTTTCTTTTTATATCTAATTAATTTATATCTAATTAATATATAGTTTATAAGGCAAGATTATAATTTGCAATTTTTTGTAATCTTAGTTTTTGGTTATAATTGTATATTTATAAACTTACATTTTTTTTCATTAAAAAATTATGTAAATTGTTTTAACCACTGATAGTGTTTGTTGTTTCTTTTTTGTAAAACCAAAAAGAATCTACTTTTAGTAGCTGCATCTCGTATTTTTTTTTCTTTTTCCTAACGTTCAATTATATATTTTATTTTGAATGTAAAAGATATGAAAAGTGGTAAGAGAGTAATGAGGTAAGAATGTGAAGGTTTCGAGCTAGCCCAGAGATATGGTTCTCTCTCGGCTCGTGTCAAGCTATTTAGACTTTTTCTCTCTCGATACAAAATCATTTTTAGTGAAGATTCAAAATTTTAGCCAAGATTCGAACCAAATATGTACATATATAGTTCAGTGGTAACAGAACAGACCAAATATCCCACCTGACGATGTTGGTAACAGTGACTTCTCTGAATCAAAACAATTATCTGTCAGAGATAGGTTAATCTAGTAGCTGTCATTTCAATCAGGTTGACATGTTGTTTTACTGAATAAAACCAAATCCTTGCAGTATTTGTAATAGCCGTAACTTTAAATCAGTAAAATGACTTCCAAATCCGAAATCACGTTGGAACATTTTTACATTTTTAATGGCACGTATGCAAAAAAAGAAGGAGAGGTAAATATGGAGAAACATATCAAAGTATATATTTATTTATGTAAAATGTATGTTTTTTTATTGTGTGACGTAAAAATTATTTTTTAGGAGGAAAAGAAAATATTATATTATTATCCAGAAAAAGATTTGGATGTCCAAATTAAGAACATAGGACTCAGCGAAGCAATAATCAAGTTTACAGAGTATGTATTGCAATTATATAATTTTACCAAAAGTTATTCTCTATAAAAAAAAACATTATAGATCTTTCAACCCTGGGCAACCGTGTGACTATTGCCACACACATAAAACACGTCAAATATATTATCAACCAGAACCTAATTTTTGGATGGTAATGGTAAGTACTTAAAAAGAATAGAATAAGATAATATATATATTTTTTTAAACTAATATGTGTCATAAACTAACCTCATATTAATATTTTATAGATTGTTGGTATACCATATATTTATAAAGAACGGGATGGTAATAAGTATCAAAACGATGAGGTCTCCAGTGGTGTTTGCCAAGCTATATTAAAACAGACATATATGATGTTTAGATTATTTATGGGCTCTTTTGAAACTATTATTAATGATCCGGAATGTGGATCTGTAATGTTATTGAAACTGAAACTGGAACATTTTTATTCACGAGTAAGGAAATGCATATTTCATAATTGTGAATTATGTATTTGAAATATGGACATACATTTTTATTTATATATTTTGTTTTTATTTTGTTTCAGTACCTCCTTCAACTAAAACTAAATAATAGCGACATCTTAGACGTTTTTCAAGGTTTACAATTTTTACCTCTTGATAAGATCACATTTCTCAAGGTGCAATGTTTTATGAATCTTGTAGAAGCTATGTTTACACAAGTAAAATACACAGCATTTCTTTACAATGACCAAGTTGTTTGGTAAGTAATAGTTTAGTTCTATTATAATATACATATTTTAAACAATTTTTATATAAGTTTGTGCATTTAGGAGCGGATTGGAACCTGAAGATATGCAAGTGGTTTATAATTATTTAGTGAGTACTATTTTGCCCGCACATCTTGAAAAAGAATTACACGGAGGCTCAATACCTAGAAACTCTTCTTCACCATTCACAACTTCACATTATGGAAAGTAAGAGCAAATATATTTTGTTCTAATTTAAATGTATTTTACAACAAGAATATCGTTAAAAATAATGTTCTTTACAGATTTGTTACTGGGCCTGCTAGTGTTAACGAGCCCAGTTTAATTGGAAAATCACCTAAAGTTTTTATCAATTATTCCAGTAAACCGGTATCATTATATTTAGTAGTGTATCGAGCATTAAGTGCTACAATATGTCTCTTTGTTGATAGTAAGTGAAATCTAAAATTATAATCCATTGTTAGTAAAGTTACACTTTTTCATCAATATAAAATTTAAAATATTTGTTTTTTTATTTTTCAGAGAAAACTAGTTTATTGATTGATTTTTTCAAAAGCTTAGATGGTTTTCTAGGCCCACAGTTAACCACGCTGGTTAGTTCTGTAGCTGAGCAATGCTCTAAAAATGTAACAGCCACATCAGAATCGTGTATAAAGTATTTGTATTTTAATAAGCTAAATCTAGCATACAAAAGTACAATACATTTAGATAATAGACGTTGTTCCAATGTACTTACAACACCTGAAGTATTGAGGATCATCTCCGATATGTACAATGACAAAAATAGGTATATATATTTTCAAAATTCATTAAATTTTATATTAATAAAAATTATGTATTAATTAGTAATTTGATCTTTAGGTTGAACGAAGCTGGAGAAATAATTATAAAGACTATGAGCGATTATTGGATTATTGGGAAATTATCCAATTTGAGAGAATTTTTTGTCGTTATACAGCAAAAAAGTGCAAGCATTATAGAAATTGATGGTGAGTGCAACATATTCCATGTAATTGAAATTATGCGTATACATTTATATTATTGATTTCTATTACAGATGAAGTGAAGAGACTTTGTGAAAAACAATTAAAAAGTATTTTTTTCCATTGATGGGTCACCAAGAATAAAAAATATATAGTCGAATATTATTTTATCATTTTTATAATTAATTTTTTATCGTGCTGTTTTGCCAGTTATCAACAAGCAATATACATTCTGTAAAGTGGTATCTCAATTGTAGCTATATAATTTATACATATGTGATATAAAATATGAATTTTCTCTTTACATTTTTTTCTCGTATAATTCATTACTAGAAATTTAGATATTTGCTATCTAAATTTACGACATATTGTACAGGAGGTATGTAAATAACAGAAACTATGATAATTGTAGCAACATTGTAATTAGATTATAAAGAAAATTGTATAAATCTGTTAACATTTTAATTAGATGTTTCGTCCTTTACACTTTTAGGAATATTGTTAGAGAATTTTTTCAGTTTTGCTACAAAGAAACCATCCATATTATGTACATGCGGATAAAATCGTTTAGTTAACTTTAATGAAGGGTGAAATCGATGTTGTCTATAACTTGTGAAACCGTCGGTTCCAAATTCCAAACCAGTTGGCAACAACTTAACGTCGCGTTTCTTGAGAGCATAATCGATAATCCACTCGTTCTCTTCCGGTAAAATCGAACAAGTCGAGTAAATAATAATACCGCCTGTTTCTGAACGCGCATTGACGCAATCTATCGCAGCTAGTAACAATTCTCTCTGCAAGGTGCAACAACGCTGAATGTCTATTTCTTCCTTATTTGTTTTTACACTTGGGTCTTTCGCGACTACACCCGTGCCTGTGCATGGAGCATCTAACAAGACTCTGTCAAAGCCTTTCATAATCTGAAAATTATTGAAACAATTATTAATTCTGAGAAAACGATCTTGTGCAAATTATAGAAGAGCAATCAAATCAATTACCGTGGGGAATTTTCTCCCATCGTAACTGCAGATTATGGAATTGACAATCCCAAGTCTGTGGAAGTTTCCAATAACAGCCTTCAATCGATCTTTGTTTACATCGTTAGCGAACAGTGTTCCGGTATTCTTCATGAGAGCGGCAATATGTGATGCTTTACCGCCTGGTGCGGCGCACATGTCGAGAATTCTCTCATTTTCTTTCGGGTCCAGTGCCATAACGGGCAAGAAGCTGGAAGCGCCTTGTATAATATAATGTCCAGCTAGATACTCCGGTGTTGCGCCCATGGGTACTTGGGAGGAATATACCACCAAACCAACTTTCGTCCATTTTCCTATCGGATCGAGATTAACACCCCTATTGATTAGAGCCTAAAAATAAATTTTATATCACGATTATAAGCAACTACTTTTGAATATAAGAACAATATTGATTTACTGTATAAAATATAAATCTACCTCTGCTAGATCGCGCCGTCGTGTTCTTAAAGTATTTGTGCGAATGGTCATAGGCCTCTCTACCTCACTCGCTTCTAAAAATTCTACTAACTCGTCCAGTGAAAACATTTGTATCAATTTCTCCATTAAGAAATCATTATAACTGTAATATATACATAAGTCTCGTTGAAGTAGTTCTATGTATGCAGAACGTGGTATATTTTCCGATCGTAATCTCTTAAAATCTGATAGTACTATAATAACATCTCGTATTCGCTGCTGAATATCTTTCAAGTCAGTGATATTGTCACCGTTTTCTTCAGTTGGAAACGTAAATACGCTTTGATGAGCCGTCATATCATCCATTTCTTCCTGTGCAAGTTTTCTGTTAAACACAAAAAATAAAAAAAAAATTAATAAAAATAAAAATATCATAGAAAGTAATTTAAAAATTTACTCACTCTTCTTTCTGCTTTTTCTTTTTTAATTTTATGTTAGCTTTTTCTATTGGCAATAAATCATCATCATCATCACTTTCATCATTTTCCTCTTCTTCATCTTGCTCCATTTGATCATCGTCAACAGATTCTTCCTCATCGCTAAGCGCTATTTCGTCACTATCACTTTCTTTCTGCTTTTTCTTTTTTAATTTTGTATTAGCTTTCTTTATCGGCAGTAAATCGTCATCATCACTTTCATCATTTTCCTCTTCTTCATCTTGCTCCATTTGATCATCGTCAACAGATTCTTCCTCATCGCTAAGCGCTATTTCATAACTATCACTTTCTTTTTGCTTTTTCTTTTTTAATTTTGTGTTAGCTTTCTTTATCGACAGTAAATTGTCATCATCATTACTTTCATCATTTTCCTCTTCATCCTGCTCCTTTTGATCATCATCAATAAATTCTTCATCATCAATAGATTCTTCCTCATCACTGAGCGCCATTTCCTCACTATCGTCTTCTGTATTGTTCACAAATTTCTGTTTTCCTTTCTTTAAATTTTTCTTTGATTTTGTAAGGAGTAATTGATTATCATTATCACTCATATCTTGTTCGTTTCTCTCATCTTTATCCACTTTTTTATTTTTCTGTTTTATTCTTTTTTTGTTTACAAGTTGCTTTACTTTTGTTTTTGACTCAGATAGATTATCAGAATGAATCTTCATATCATCTCTATGATGATCGTTATTGATAACTGTCTTAATCTTTTTTTCTTTCTTTTTCTTCAGTTGCTTTGATATATCTTTTCCCTAAAATTAATTAAATAAAAAAACATTTATATAAAATTGTGATATATATATAACAGTTATCATATCCAGATAGCAAAATATTAGCAATGTTTGCAGATTAACAATAAATTTAATCAAATTATTTTTTCAATTTATCAAATTTTTTGTCAATCTGCTAACATTGCTAACAATTTGTTTATTAGGCAAAAGAGAAACATACATTTTTCAATTGTATATGTTCTTCTTCCACATTAATTTTTTTCTTGAGTAATTTTTTTGCCTCTTTTTTCAGCTGTTCATTCTTCAGTAATCTCTTCTTTGCTCGTTGCTTTTGTCGATGACTTAACTTGTTTTCATCTTTAACTGCAATGCAATAAATAAGTTTATACTTACTTATCTTATATATAATTTCTTTATGTCAATATCAATAGAAATTTATTGCTATGTTTTCATACCGAGAACTCCTTTTGGAAAAGTTGGATCACTTTGCTTTTTCGCCTTTCTTCCACGTCCTGTAGGAGCTTTACTCTCAAAATTTATTTTACGACCCATTTAGCCTATAAATTCACAAAAGGTTTTTTCTGTTTGTTTCATGAATATAATATAATTTTTTTAACTTTTATTTTAAGGGTAATTAAGTTTATTTCTTTTATACAAGATTATCATAAAAATCAACTTACGGCTTATTGTTTAAACAATCAGAATTCTAACCTCCACGAGGTATCAAATTAGAAAATATCACTGATTGTACAATATACCTTAATAGTAAGATGTTAATTTTATTTAATAAAATTATAAACAAATCTATATCTTATAAATTTCTTTCAACACAATATCCGTACTGATTATTTTATTAAAATGTTGCGCACAATTTCTACCGATACACATGTTTCAACACGTTGCTTCGCTTTGCCATGTTTTGCCATGCAACATGCAGTGATGCGATGTTGTTTACCGGGCTCCCGGCTTCATAGCTCCACACAAGCAAGAAGCACGTACATGTGCTGCGCAAAGCGTTCTGCGCAGCACATGTACGCGCTTCTCGCTTGTGTGGGGCTATGAAGCCGGGAGCCTGGTAGACAACATCACATCACTGCTGCCATACTTTCAGCATGGTTACTAATGGAGGCAAATATGTCTACTTTAAGCGCCATATTCAAGATTGGTAACTCAAAACTAATATAATAAATCATGTCAATATACATAAATATATATATATATATATAATTTAAATAAGAATACATTTGTAAAAGAATACATTACTATACAAATATATATTTTTTATAAAATTTTTAATATTTATTATTACAACATTTTTTATATTAAAAGAAATAGTAATGTTAAACTTTTCAACTTTTTATATTCCATTAACAAATTTTAACTCGATATTTGCACTTCACACATTGTGACCGAATTTTCGCCGCAGTCAAGATACAAAGGCGTCAAAAGTGCGCGCGAGTCAACGTAAACCTAATTTAGCGGGGCATTGAAATTCGATGAAGGGAAAGATTCGACTCGGGAGTGGTTTAGAGAGCGAAAGGTCGAGTGAAAAAGACGGGCTGGCCGTTTTCGTTGCATACGTCGATGTACTTGATCCTGCCTTTGTCGCAACGCTACGACGATCCCCGTGCTACCCGACTTCTCTCATTTACGACGTCCTCTCTGTGTTTCACGGCTTGTTTTAATGACACGTCTATCGGCTGCCTATAAAAGAGAAAACTCGGAAGTTAATAATAGACCAGTATCGTAAAAGCTGTACGTCAATAAGTTTTCACAAGCAAATACGTAGAGTCGCTTTGTGAAGTTGAACAAAATTAAACAAATTAATACTTTAGATAAAATTTATTTACAAAACTTTTATGCTGTAAAACTTAAATTTTATTTTTAATAATAAAACTTGTATCATGTTTTTAGTTAGATTTATATCACGTTTAAAACTTGTATAAATTTATATTAAGATTCTGATATTATGATCATTTATTTTTATTACATTTTGTCTTTAACGTGATCTCATTATGATGTTGATCATCCAACGCATTAAAATTAGATGCATATAAATTTTCAAGAATGTAGGGTTTCAAAATGGTTAAAAATATGTCGATGGGACTGTTAAACGATTAATGTTTGAATAAATATCTGGTCAATGTACGAAAACTGCTTATTAGCTTTTTAATTACAAAAAATATATTAGGTGCACGTGCCGCCCATATAACGCTTATCACAATATACCGGCAAGTAGCCGTTTGATAAGAAATCTACGCCTACGTGGCACGATTCAGGTATTAGGACGTCTAAATATCTTAATTATAAGACATCTTAATTATTCTGGACATGTCTTCGTGGTAATACCGTAAATCAATATAAAGCTAATAAGAAATACGATGCGGAAAGGGATCATTAGTTATTACATTTATATGTTATTCGTGAACATACTAGAACTACGTGACTTGTAATCAAATAGCTGCAAGATGTTGAGATTATTAATGTTTTCTAAAAAAAACTGTGAAATTAATTACACTTTTACATAATTATTGCAACATTATATCTTTCAATTCGTTATATTAATCTTTAAATATACATTATTTTCTCGTGAAATTGAGATCAAAATAAAATTATTCACGGAATGAATAGAAAAAATAAGCATATGTCAAATTAAAAAAATTAATTATAAAATTAATTTGCAAAAAATGTGGAACGCTTCACGATTTTGCGTGTCATCCTTGCGCAGGGGCCATGCTAATCTTCTCTGTATCGTTCCAATTTTAGTATATGTACTGCCGAAGCAAGTACAACGGGTAGTTTATAATAGCATTATATATACTAAACGATCAGTACAAAAGCACTTTCGAGAAAACTCTGTTGTATTAGAGCGTAGAGGGTTCGTTTTAACTTTGTTTAGCAATCTAGCGGTGAAGAAGCAAACTATTTTGCTAAAGTACCACCATCTGTCTTATTTTACATGAACCTTTGAGAAATTTGAAATAAATCTTACTGAAATCAGTCTTGTTCACGGTTAGTATTTCCGCGGTTTTCATCAACGAATTCGCTGAGTAACGAATGTTTAAAACGATGTAAAAGTGCACAGTGCGTGTAAAACAATGTTCTAGCTAATCTCGCTAGTTACATTGACAAATTTTCGCTTTCCTCGCCGTTCGCGCGAGTCGAAAAGTTAACCGCATTTATTTCCGCGGAGTGTCGAAATTTGTACATCATACACGGTATTTCGTTGTTGTTTTTCGTCGTTGTTAAAAGTAAAAAATGCGTATCGTGTTTATATCAAATATCGCGGACGCATATGTATGAAATGCGATCGACAAAGGAAGTTGAGCGGACGATGAATATTTTTCTGTCACAGATACAACGGCAAGACGGATAATTCGATCTGATTTGTCAAGTACGTGTCAATTTTCTAACTGGCTGTGGAAAACATATTTGGCTCTGTAGCACACATAAAAGTCTACATAAAAGTAACATAATGCCGTGTAGCATCGGCCTACGCTATGCAAAGGAACAATTCTCGGAACGGCTTGGCTCTATGGATTCCTAGAAATCGTGAAATATGTTGTGTTTACAAACATCGGCAATGTAGTGAAGTTGAGCGGACGATGAATATTTTTCTATCACAGATACAACAGCGTCGGATAATCGGTTAGATTTGTCAAGCACGTATTCGATTTTCTAACTGGCTGTGGAAAACATATTTGACTCTGTAGCCACATAAAAGTCTACATAAAAGAAACATAATAGTGCCGCACGGCATCGGCTTGTGCTGCGGTAGTAAACAATTCTCGGAATACCTCGGCTTTGTATACAGATTCCTAGAAATAGTGAAATACATTGTGTTTATAAACATCGGCAATGTAGGGACAATTTGTCGCGTTCCTATCCATATGTTAGTTAGCGCTCACAGATGTCGCAGCGTTCGTTAAAAGTTCTGTTCCTACGGGGATTACACGAATCTCAACACGGGCGCGCCAGACGCTCTCTTCGCGATATTACGTCTTCATTTCTGATTTTGCTAGTTCAAACTAAGTACGCGAGGTAACAAATATTTGGTAGTGCTCCAATGCGATAGCGTCGCGCGAAAGTGATTGTGTGTAAAACAGCGCGTGTTGTGATCAAACTCGTTCGCGGATACATTGACAAATTTTCACGATCGCCGGCTTTCACGTTTTTCGTCGTGCGCATTCGAATCGAGAAGTTAACCGCATCTGTTTCGCGTAGTACCGAATGGCGAATTTGAGCATCGTACGCCGACGTTGCTATTGTTAGCGTAATTAGCGGTGAGAAGCCCATATCGTGTCTATATCAAATATTACAAGCGTGGATAGGATTTAGCAAACAAGGTAAGCCGAGCGGCCGAATCCTTAGTTTCTACTACGCGGATATAATGGCGGGGCATCCGATAATTTGATCAGATTTATCAAGTATCCAATCTCGTAGCTTTTCATCGTAGAAAACGTTTTATCTTGTAATGCACACAAAAGCCGTGTTATCTAGAAACATTGCATGGCTCCGGCCGAACGATCTATACAAGTACATTTCTCAGCACGGATTCCTGGAAATACATAAATTTTAAAGATATCGGTAATTTAGGGATGATATATTGTGTACTTATCCAAATATAAATTAGCACATACAGGTGTCGCGGCGTTCGTTAAAAGTGTAAGTTTCCTTAGCGTATGCTCAGTCAGGAAGTAGAATCGCTGAAGGCGTTAATTTACGGGATCAAGGACGAGTTCGATAATAATATTAATATTTAAATTAATAATGTCTTTTTAAGATCTTCACCAGAGATCATACATTTATTTCAATTAAAAAGTTCTCTCTTATCCGCGAAATACGTGATTTCCAGATATACATAAATATATATTGTCCACTTAGCTTATGCTACTCGTTAACTCGCTTTAGTTTCTCTTAAAGCCCTTGTTCGGTATCAGGCCTCAATATTCGCTTCTCTCCTTGTTCGGCACACCAAGTCTTTTTGTCCATAAATCGGCAATCTCGCCTGACTCCCTTTACTACTCCTCTTCCAATATCTTTACGTTCACCACTCTGTATTATGCACTTACTATTTCAACTTCCGACCACGGAAAAAGCCCCGCGTACTTCGTTACCTCTCTTTTATTCTCTTCTCCCTTGACCCTACTCGAAGATTTTTCCCTTATCCACCAATCCAAATTCGCCAGGCACCGTCCGGTGGCCAGTGCCCCCTTTTCTGCTTATTTCGCTACGTTCCTAATTGTTTCTGATCAGTTACTTTACCCTCTTTACCGACTATCGGCAATTCGTCTCCTAATTTTCTTACAAAAGTTTCAATCTCATGTGGGGATTATACAAATCTCGGCACGACTTCGTGCGTTGGCAGATGCTCCTCGCAGTGTCATGTCGTTTATCGTTGATTTTATTCGTACGGGAGTGAATAAGTGTTCGATGATTTTTACGCGCGATCGAGTTTGCTCGCGGATACGTCGACGAATTTTCGTGATTGCTGCTTTCGTGCTTTTCACCGGACGTATAGCCGAGTCGCGAAGTTAATTTGTGCGGAAAACCGAGATTTGATCGTCAATGACTTTTTAGGCAATATTCTTCGTCGTTATTAAAAGTGACAAGTATGTATCGTGCATCAAGTGTCGCGTGTGAATGTGTTTCAAGTGCAGTCAACGAAGGAAGCGGCAACAGCGGCGAATGGATTTTCAGAATATCCAACGATAAAATGGATCCTTGGTCTATGCCATCTTCAGATAAGGTTAGTCGTATTGTTAGATTCAACTTTTAAACATTCAACTTTTTAATGTGCCATCCTGATGCGAAACTGCAGCGATTTGGGGTGCGATATTTTCTATCGCTATTTTTGTCAGCCTTATTGATAAATTAGGATGTTATTCTTACTGAAATTTGGTTTGCACTTTTGGTTTTATAAAGAAACCAATATTTTTACTAGATTATCTAAATACATTTGCACGTATCAATATTATAACCACGGGAATAAAGATACAATTATTATATACCGAAAATGTGCAATAAGCTGTAAATACAAGGAATTTTAAATTTATTGATTTATTATTTTTTAGTCTAAAAATAAATGAATTAAAGAGAAAGTTATATATGAAAGAGCATACATATGTTAACAAATTATTTAATATTATTTTATTTGGAAATCAATTTTCAATATATGCAAAATAGTAATAATTCTTAATATATTTTGCATATATTATAACATTATGAGCAAATTTTTAATACTAATAATTATTTGATTGAAAGAGAAAAGTGTTCCAAAATAGAATTATTAGTGAATTTTGCAGATGAATTCAAAATTTTATTTATGTCTTTGCTGGGTGGTGCGTTTCACGATGTTTATGTCGGAGAAAAAGTTTCGGTGGCGCGCGACGCGATAGAGGAAAAGTTCGACATTCATGACAGAATTTTAAAGTTTACACCGGCGAGAATATGAATGTTTAATGGCCGCTCCGCGTCGACCAGGAGGAAACGAGCGGTACACCAGCGAGCGCGATTTGATTTTTTTCGCGGCAGTGCTATCTAACAGCCGCTCGGTAATGTAATTTACATAGCGCGAAAAAGGAAACGTTCGTCGACGACCCTCTCTCTCCTTTTGCCCACGGCCCCGGAAGCATTTCAATTATCCAAGATCTGTTTGTATTTCGTGACTGTACTTCGCAATCGGAAGGCACATTTCAGTTATCTGAATATTATCATTTCGTTTTGGCGAGATAGCTGCTTTATTTCGCATATATCATGTATTCTTGTAAAAGAGTAAGAATACTAATTTAAAAGATATGCACAAAAAAGATGTGCATAGTAAATATATTTTTATTTTAACGTAGAATTGAAAATGCATAAGGTATTTAGTTTCATGCATAAACGTCCTTTAATCAGACAGAATAAACTTTAATAGTCTAAAGTCGAAGAGAAACTACGGTTTCACTATATTATACAATAGAGTTTCAAAAGCGACTATTATGTCTCTATATGTTACACCGATGGATTGTGGCTTCAAGTTACAATGAATTATTCACGTACAGATATAACTACATTTAGCAGGAATTATTTGGCCATTTAGTAGAGAATTGAAAAAGAAGAAACGCAGCGTTAAATTTTTCAAATGAGGGGGGAGATTCTTGAAAATTATTGTCGATCTGGTTGTAAAAAATCTCGAAACTGGGTTGACATTTAGAAATACCTTAGTATCTCGACACGTTACGTCACGCAACGTAATAATGAATTACCGCACGCGGACATAATCGCAGTAGCGTAACAGCGGTCACGACTTCAATTAAAGCCGGCTATTCAATTGTGTAAGCGTCTGCTTCTCTCTTTCTCTC